AGGGAGGGAGGGAGAGAAAGAGTGAGGGAGGGAAGAAGGAAGGAAGGGGGAAGAAAATAAGGAAGGAAAAAATTATGGCAATATAATATATGCTTCTTTTCTGGTCTGTGTGTGATTTTTTTTTTTTAAAAGGGTATGCACAAGAAAGATTTGAGCACTTTCACATGTGCTGTGTTCATGGGTCATCAGAAAGCAGCAGTGGAAGAGAGAGTGATGAGATGGTGAGCCAGTGCTAACAGTGTCAGAAACAAAGAAAAACTGTGGTGGAATGAATGACAAGGCCAATTTGACAATATTCTAAACTCAGACATTTTAGAAACATGAAAGGAAGAGTCAAGTCAGCAGTGTACTCAGCCTGTACTGCCCCTCCTGAGAAGGAAGGTGAACGTTATAACCAAAATCCTCGAGGAAGGGTCTGGTGTGGGGGCAGCATCCATAGAAGATATTAAAAGATACAAAGATGGCTGCTGTCTATGAATTTAGAGGTGTTAGTGGATGGTTACTGGAACAAGGTGGAAAGACACACACTAAGGAAGTTCAGCTTTAAAGATAATACAGTTTTCAAGTTACTTTATCTGTGTAACATTTCAGCATGTAAACAAATATCTGCACACATGTGCACACACATAAATCCTTACACGTGTAGATCTCACCTGTTCATCATTTCAAACAGTGGCTACTTACTGAGCACTCCTCATACGTTCCCTGCATTCTGAGCCCCTGAGCACAGAATGTGAACCTACCTTGTGGTCTTAGAGGAAATAAAGCAAAAAAGAATAAAGTGAGAAATTAGTGAGCGGGGGAGTCAGGGTTAGAGCTCAGTACAAAGACTACTTTTCACTAGATTGATTTGCCATACCTGTTGAAGATGCCAACGGCATGCACCAGATCATTGCTTCTCATCTTGTGGGTTGAAACCTCTAAGGGGGTCCCATATCAGATATGCTGGATATTACATATTTACATTACGGATCATAACAGCAGCACAATTGCAGTTAGGAAGTAGTAACAAAATGATTTTATGGTTGGGGAAATGCCACAATCGGAGGCATTGTATTAAAGGGACTCAGGATTAGGAAGACTGGAAGCCACTGTAACAGATCCAAACCTTCTATGTGTGGGATCACACTTGACCTCTAAAGCAGAGTATGAAATAGATATCTGTCGTGTGGGAAGAGAAGTTGGAGAAGGAAGTAAAGGGAACAAAAGAGTAAATCGCAGGGGAGGAGACAGGGTTTGTCACTGTCATCTACAAAGCATTCAGAAAACAAATGTTAATTATTAGGCTTAGTGCTCAGTATGCTTTCATTTAGCTCTGTCTATAGCATTATCTTGTTACCTTGTTATGTCCCCACACCTCCCAAATCAGCACTCACTGCCTTCAGCTCTCCATCCTTCTTCACATCTGCCACATAGGACAGGACAAAGTCGATCTGCCGGATTCCATCTCTGAAGAAAATTGAGTCTTTGCTGTGTTCACTCCTTTGGAACTGCAGAAGACACACATGCATGACATGATTTCACATCACCTTTTATTCTCAAAGGGCAGAAACACAAAGAAAATTAGCTGTAATTAGGCATCCGCTTCATTTTTTTCCCCACACTTAACACAGAAAGTCAACACAAGTCATAACAGAAATTAGGCCCCCTTATAAAGTAAAATTCCACAGAGGATTAAATGTTATATACTCAGAAAGGGCTGAAAGAGACAAAGTGATTGCATGCTTAAACACATTAACCACATGCTTTCCTACAAATGCTGAAGTTATGTCAAAGCATAAGATGAATATGCTTATACATTAAAACTAAAAATGCACACTCAGGAAGAAAGCTGTGGTATTAATTAAACACAGCACCAATTAGTATACTACATTATTACACATTTCTTCCAAGGCATAATTAGTTGCACACCAACTAATGGAGTTTCTCTGTATGGACATAAACTGTTAGTGGTTACAGATGGCAAAAAAAAAAAAAAAAAATCAGAAACAAGTAGCTGGCCAGCTGACAACACCATGGCTAAGTCCTACAAATGTCTGTCATCAGTATCTCAAGTGAGCTACAACCCATGTTTTCTTTATAGTTGTATGGATTTTCTCAGTATAATAATCAAAATTACAAGTTCAACTTTTACATGGCATTCGTGAATTCTTTTCCTTTTGTGGCACCAAAACAAAACAAAATAAACAAATCAGCAAAAACCACTGAGCATTGCAGGGGAAAAGAGATTTCACATTTGATATTGTATTCCTCACTACTGATATGAAAGGTGTAATACTTTGTATTTATAACAGCCCTGTGTGAGGTTCAGCATCATGCAATGGTTGGTTCATGATGCCACTACTGCTTCCTGTAACTGGTGGCTGGGAGCTAGATCACTTGATTCTTCCCAGCAGGTACACCTGCATCTTCTGCAGTTCCTGTGATGATGTGCATTTGCCAGCCCAGCTGAGCATCCCTTTGAAAGGGACAGGCGGTGCTCAGCCACAAACAAGACAGAAACCTTGTGTGAGATCTTTGGTCTGTCAACATAGTAATGATATTTATCTCTGGGTTCCTGGCTACTATAGTTGGGGGAGGAAGAGGCTTTCAAGGCATGTGAGGAGAAAAGTGGAGAAATGTAAACAGAAATGAAAATATCTAGGGAGATCAGACTAACTGTCAGAGTACTGCAACTCAACAAAGACCCACAATCTTCTCCCTTTTATAAAGGATTATAAAAAGCCTGAGAAAAGTCTGTTGCTAAACTTAGACTATAAATCAGTTTTTATAAAGGGAAAATAAATAAAATAACCACTGGCATTACTGTACATCATTACAAAATTAACATATTTGATAAAATCTACTGAAATGCATATGGAAGAAGCCTATTGGCTAGAGAGACATAATTAGCCTGCATGTAATCAAAGGAGAAAATCAGAAAAGAAAATAACAGCCATGCTTCTCCAATTCTGTGTCAACCATGTTTTGTACTATAGAACCTTTAAAAGAAATCATTAGTGTTTTTAGGATAATTCATATTGTCCACAAAAGCTAACCCTAGGATTCCTTTAGGACTGGAGTTACAGATGGTTGTGAGCCACCATGTGCTGCTGAGATCAAACTAGGTCCTCTGGAAGAGCAATCAGTTCTCTTAATATTGAGCCATCTTTCCAGCCCTAAGTTTCTAGATTCTTAAAAATTTATTTGCGCTAAATGGCGCAGAAAAATCCATTCGTTTTTGGTACAGACAACTGAATGTTATTAAAATATACTTTGTTTTGATTTTTACTTAAATTGTGATATAAAAACACACATGTATATGTATATGATGTCTATGTATGTAGTGTATATGATGCATAAGTATATGTACATGTATATGTGTATATATCTGTTTGTATATTTGTCCTTAGAGAAGCCTGGTTACTACAAAGCAATACACGGGCGGCATCTAGCTTACTATGGCTTTCATTCCTAGTGGTTCATGAACTTCTGAAGCTATTTTACATTGTCTTGTGTAAATATGTTTGCACGCATGTTTTTAGCAAATAGGCTCATCAAATGAAAAAGAATGAGAATCACTATCATTAAACGTCAGCTGCCTGGGACCTTGGAATTAGTGATCAAACCTCCCAGTGTGGATAACATTCATGGTACAAAAAAACACTCAAGCTGTTAGGATACACTCAGGCATAAGCATGAGCAGCCATTGCTGTTTTACCATAAGACGCCTCCTCAGGAACAAATTTAATCGCTTCTCAGGCTGTGAAGCAACCGATAAAGAGTCATCAAATCCTGCTCAGGGTTCAAGATTCCAATACAAAGATCCATGAATGAATAAGCTATGCTGTGTGGTAGATGACTATGTTGAGACATTTCAGCCTCAGAGCAAGACTGTTGTTCCCTCAGAGGAGGGATTTGCTTCCTTAAAGTATGACCACCACCTACCAGAAAGAGTTTTATCATAGCTATCCCTGGCTTCATGGTGTGGATGTTAGACTAGAGCAGGTATTGGCACTGAGACGTTTCTAACTCAGAGAACTACTGGCATTGCCTTAACACCAGGCTGTTGCTAAACACAATAAGCCCAGCATTAATTATTCCAAATCACTATGACATTAGAACAGGCTGAATGCCGTTGTAGTTGCTTGTCCTAAGAGGGCCTGTGTCCGGTGAGTTTCTCTAACATCTTACCCACTGCTGCTGTGCTTCAGGGAACCTGATAAACTTTCCACTTCTATTTATATTTGTCCCAGTGAATCCTTTCACCCTTTAAGGACTGTCAATGCTATCCCTGGTACAGCATGGACCTTCAGTATGTGCATTCAGCATTGAAAGTTGTCTAGCAGAGGAACCAATTGTGAAGGATGTAAAAAACTGGGAAGAAAAAGGATGAAAAGGAAAAAGTCTTCATCTTACAACTCCTTTATAAAGACAACATTTAACATATGTTTGGAATTTAGATGAGGGAGAAAAGAAATGGTGAACAAAATTCAATAATAACAGAAATGCAAAGTAAAGCACTCTGTTAAACATGCTTCTATCAAGAAACATAGCAAACCCCAAGATTATCACTATGGGTGATTGATAGTATGGGAAATTTGCATAGCAGCATGGCATGCTGATACACAGCCATAATCCCAGCAGGGCTGAGACAGGAAGATTCAGTATTCCAAACCAGCCCAGGACACATAGCAAGACTTTGTCTACAAAAGGGCAAGAAAGAAAAAAGCTTGCACAGGGCTTAATTTTAAATATTCCATGACTTCCTCAAATACCAGGGGGTTGGGGTTGGGGAAGAAAATATCATTCAAGTACTGAAATAATGAATTGTCTTCAACATGTTATTAACATGGTATCATTTAAGACACTGAGGAAGTGACCTGGAGTTATCAGCAAGTTTAAAAAAATATCTGAGAGATCTCTGGTTAAGCGTTTGCTTAGCAGGCAGAAGCTCCTCTATTTAATCCTCTATACTATAAGACAAAAATTTAAGAAAAAAAAATCAAACCCATGGCATCCAAAGGCCTGCCTTGCTCATATTTGATAAAAACGAAAGGGTAACTAATCACATAAATTATTATTAAAGTAACTCAGCAATTCACATAAGAGTTTGCTTCAACACTGGAAAGGTCTGAGCAGCTAGTGATGGCTTTTGTGTGTGTACAGGCTAGTTTTATTATGTCAAGTTGACACAAGCTATAGTGTTATCTTTAGGGAGGGAACCTCAACTGAGAAAACATCTCCCTAAGATCAGGCTGTAGGTAAGCCTATAAAGTATTTTTTTAATTAGTGACTGATAGATGAGGACCCATTGTGGGTGATGCCACTTCTGGGCTGGTAGTCCAGCATTCTATAAGAAAACAGGCTGAGCAAGCCAGTAAGTAGGACCTCTCCATAGCCTCTGCGTCAGCTCCTGCCTCCAGATCCCTGCCCTGTATGAGCTCTTGTCCTTATTTCCTTTGATGATGAACAGTGCTGTGAAAGTCGAATACATCCTTTCCTCTTTAACTTTCTTTTGGGTCCTGGTGGTTCATTCCAGCAATAGATACCCTAACTCAGACCATGTGAAATTGCTATTCGCAGATGTAATGAGCATTGATGTGTGTAGTTAGAGGAGTAACTGCTGTTAATTCATAGGTGCATGGAGGATATCAGCCATTGCTTAAACTACATTCTTCTGTTGGTCTAAAGTTATTTCCCTCTGTACTTTGATTTTCCTGATCTTTGGTGAGATCTGAGAATTACTGTTATTCATAGATGTTTTCCTGGATTGACTACAGATTCACTAAGAGACATGAAAATAGTTAGGGGTGGCATGGTGAACCTCAGGTTCTCTTGAGGTGATGAAAGTTGACTCCAGATGGGTCATAGAATAAACACAACTAAATACTACTTTGCAGAATAAAAGCAGAAAAGTTGTCCCTTACATTGATGCAAGAAAATATAAGCATATGTAAAAGAAAAACAAAGGGGCACTGAAATTAAAAGACATTTTTTTACAGCTATTTTAGAAAGATAAAATAAGACCAATGATACTCCAGTCAAAACCCAGAATACTTTTCTCGAAGCCTGCTGCTCACCTTCCTGTGTTTAAGCTCAAGATGTCTTATGTACTTGATTTTCTCCTTTTGGGTTCAAGAAACAATACCCCTCTCTCCCATCTTCTAGTTCCATGGACAGTACTGGATTCAAGGCTGGTATACTTGTGTACATCGAGACTTTCCCACATTTATGGCACTCTGTACAAGTGCTCTTCAAATTATTCTATTTTGCATATGTTTAAAAGGATGTTAACTAATACAGAGTTAACTATGTGATAATTGGTTGTATTGAAAACAAAAGTTCTTTAGAGAATTGATTCATTCTAGGGTTTAAGCAGAAAATGTACAAGATGAGCTTGCAGTATCCTGTAGTATCAAAAATAAAAAAATATTAAAGTAAAAGAGAACACAACAATGGGGTGTGTTCAACTTATAGAAACTTCACTAAAACATTCTCTAATGCAATTGAATAAAGTACTAGTGAGTTTATAACAAGACATAAAATAAACATCTTTGAGTTAATGCAGAGGAAGGGAGAGGGAGAAGAAGGAAAAGGTCTCCCACAGGTAAATTCCAGGGAAGGGGGAATGTACCTTAATGGTAGAACACTTGTCTAAATGCCCCATGGATTCAATCTCTGGCACTGTTATTGACAACAAAAAAATTACTATCATCTGCTTTTAAGATTAAACACAATTCGTAGTCCTTGTATGCACACTGATTACTGACTCAAAGACTAGTACTTTAAGCCAAATAATCAAGGCTAAAGCTTCATAATTGGCCCAGGATATGATGCAAAGCAAGTGACACATTCTGTTTTCTCCATCTCCAATTTGAGTCATGAGAAACAACATATTAGGAATTTTACAACTGAGGTGCATTTTATACAGTAAAATGGCCAGCATCAACCTTAGAGGTCACTGGATATGAGAAAGATATTCAGAGTTGGTTGTTGCGTGAACCAACAGACATAGAGTAGACTTGGCTGCTAACCACAACTAAGGACCCTCAAAGACAAATGTCAGCAGAAAACACAGACACCGGAACTCCATTTCCTGTCTTTCTAAACAGCAACATTATTTACTGAGCAAATGAAAAAAACAACACTTAATAAAATTTAAGTTTAATAAGTACTGAATTGGATCCAGGCTTAATTTTAAAGTCTAAATTATGATTATTCTTCAGCATGAATTCATAGTGAAGCATACTCTAATGGAGTAAGAAGGTTGATGGTTCAAGTCTAGGATCCTCCTCATAAGCACACAGAAATTTTGATGAAGCCTCTACAAAACTGGGAATTCTTTAAATTGCAAACTGATACCCTCCACATGTCATTCTTACCACCATGTCTTATGTAATATTTTTCTTAAATAGATAATTTTTTTTCAAAAGTAATACATTCTCAGATACCAAACTCAAGGACCTGAAATTTAAGTGATAGTATCCCCAGTTCTGGCCATGGAAGGACACTTGTGTCTGCTTGTCTAAGACGAAAAATACTGCTTGCTGCTTACCAGTGGTTGTGTGTCTTCAGGGATGAGGAAGGTGGTCTCTTTGCAGCTCAGGGTCTGTCAATAGCAAAAGGCAAGGTAAAGGAGGGGAGATACAGTACTGTAATGGCTGGCTCAAGTAGAACAATCATGTCATTTACATCTCCAAACCAAGAACAGCAAGGTTCTTTCTTTAGAATGCTACACCATGAAATCAAGAAACCTGAACTCCATTTACCCATATGAAATGGTACTTGAAGTTGCATGTATATATGTATACATGCATGCGTGTGTGTATGTATCTGTGCATGTGGGGGGTGGGAAGAAAAAAAAGAGGGAGAGATAGAGAAGAGGAAGAAAAGAGACAGAGAGGGAATTATAGAGAAAGTCATAGAACCATCTGCAACAGGTAAAATGGTTAAAAACTTCTACACTACAGTAAAGTGACCAGGATATCTGATATTTTAAGGACTCTGAACAGGACCAATGTAGAATAGACATCACTGACTAGATAGTTCATGCTTCTTGGCATTGGCTTGAAATTACTAAAATATGTAGCTTTGAAGATGACATATCATTCTTTACAAATGCATAATGGAAGGAAAATTCATATATAGATTACACACAAACCACTAGCAATTAAAGAAGCATGTCTTCTTTCCTGGACATGGGTTTCCAATCCACTGATTATTCAGTGACCCACACACTACAGAACTGGCTCCCGAGGTCTCACCTGCCCATTTTCTGAATTTCTGGGGATGGTATCAGGAGTGGCCCCAGGATTAAAAAAAAATGATCTGAGGTCCATATCATACAGGACACTCAGTTATCTTCTTTAGGGAATGTCACATCCACCATCCTACTATGACACGTTGGTTTTGGGCAAATCAGTCTTGAGAAATGGTAATCATGAATTATGGATACTTCAGGAGCTTTCCAGAACATAATTTTAGGCAGAAGAGTTTACACAGTGGAATGTGACAGGCGACTCTAACCTCGCTGCCTTCTTAGTAGTGATGACGAAGGTGGTCCTTGACCATAGGTATATTCAAACTACTTCAACCAACTTAAGTTACACTTAGGAATCAAACTTGCTCAACAAAGTGTCAAATAAAACTAACCTATCAGATAAGTCCGAAATACCAGTCTGCACAAATATATGACAGAGAGAGAGAGAGAGAGAGAGAGAGAGAGAGAGAGAGAGAGAGAGAGAGAGAGAGAGAGGTCTCTGAGGTTACGAGTGAATGTTGTTCTTTTGGATGTCCTGACTTTGGTTCTGAGCACCACCTGTAATTCCTACACTTTTTCTGGTCTCCATGAGCACCTGAACACACACACACACACACACCACACACACACACACACACACACACAAAAACACACACACACTTCAATTGAAACAAAAGGAACTTTTTAAAAACTGTAAAAAAAAATAAAAATAAATAGTGAAGCTACATTTTCACCATGTAAACATTAAAGGAACTTAATTTGTCTTTCTTTGACCCAGAGCTCTGTTACACTTGCACTCTACCATCATGCACAAAGCTTGTTTGTGCTAACTATGGAATGACTGATAGTAATGTTGTCAAGGGAACCCGGCAGGGAACTTGACCCTCTCACCTTGGGAAAAAGATATGTTTGTTCTGACTGGGCCTTCAAACCTACACTTATGTCTTCTCCTTGAACCATAAACTGATGTAATTTCTTTCTTTCTCTTGTTTTAAAACTCTTTGCTGAATATTTCATTGTTTCCTTTGTCAAAGACCTGTCATGCATAAGAATTCGTATTATGGTCAAGCCTATGGTTCCCTCAACAGAGGCATGCCTTTCATATGTTGTGTGTCTCCTTCACAGAGCCCAGCTACTGAGCAATTAAGTAAAGTAGTACAAAGGGGAACAGCAGTGTAAGTGGATGGATCTAACAACATGTAGCCTTATTCATTCACAGAATCCACAGGTCACCATAGAGATTGACTGCTCCAAACATTCGCAACACTAGTACTCTTCTGGCTTTGTGTAATTCCAACATGTGGATTTGAAGTATATAACATGCTGCTTTTTGTAGGACAATGTCACATTTCCTCCCTCCAAATTGCTGTTGATTGATTACACAAATTTGGAATTTTCAGATACAGAGACCAACTATATTTGATATAGTTGTTTGTTTAGCAATTTTCATCGCTCTTCAGTCACTTGAACCATATATAGCCCTTGATAAGAACATATTCCATATAAACAACCATTATATAAACAGATGTCATACACAAACCAGCATTACACGTCCCTACTGTGATTGGCTGACAGTTATTGTCTTGCAGATTGAATCCTAGCACATCTGAAGTTATTGTACAGGGAACCTCAAGATCAATTCAAACTTATGTTTGCTTTTCAATAAGACCATATTTCCTTGTTCCTCTCTGTTTAAAAACTTAGTTATTAAAGTAATTTTAGAATTGTGGGATTCTTAAATCAAGCAATTCACAAAGTGTGGGTTTTCTTGAGTGAGACTTGTGGATTTGGTCTAACACTCGCATTATGTTATTTGGTTCCCAAAATTGCATGAGAATCCATATGTAAGACATTGAGGGTCCCTGTCCCCAGTTGTTTCTAACTGATAAATAAAGTTGCCAGCAGCCAATGACTGGGCAGTGAGATAGAGGTGGGACTTTAGGATTTGGGGGCAACAAGACCCAGAAAGAAGGAGAAATATTGCCATGCTGGGAAAGAAATAAAATCCAGGCTTAAGAGCTGCAGAAGAGAGCATACCAACCATGTAAGAGCTGCTCAGCCTCCTCTCCCCAGTTGGGTCTAGGATAGCAAAATTGGAATATAGATTTTAGTAAGTAATAACTCAGGAGTATCGGAGGGGAGGCATTAGCAATGTGGAAGTTTGGGAATGGCCCAACCATTGAGCTGTTTAAGGGATGTTAAAATAGAACTCTCTCTCTCTCTCTCTCTCTCTCTCTCTCTCTCTCTCTCTCTCTCTCTCTCTCTCTCTGTGTGTGTGTGTGTGTGTGTGTGTGTGTGTGTCTTTCATTCAGGAACTCAGAACATTGCGGTGGGTAATAAAGAAAGTATGCTGCCACCAAGGATATTAAGTAGTATTAATTGCCTACTGCAACAAATGGCATTCAATTTGTTAGGCTTGAACTCACTATTAAAAATTAATTGGAAATTCTCAAATAAAAAACACATTACATACTGTAAGTTTAGGAAGTGGAGCAAATTGGTTTCTCAGCCAAGCTGAGCTGAGTGGAGCCCTGTGGTTCCTCCCTAAGCTGCACAGGTTTGGAACTAGGACAAAAAGTGTGCTGAATTGGCATGCATAATTCTGGAGTTTGAGGTTTGAGACTAGGACACAGTCAGGCCAACCCAGGGACTTGGGTGGTGGATTAAGGATTTAGCTAGATGCTCTCTAGTGTTCTGGGTTGCTGCAGAAGGCTTGAGCCACAGATGCTGAGAGAGTTCCTGCTGAGATAAAGTAGGCTGAAGAGAACAGGCCTGAATGAGATTGGAATAAAGGAGCTTGCATTGTTTTAAGGACAGAAGGGAAAACGAATGAAAATTGATTTAATTGTTTTTAAAGATAGAAAGAAAAATGCTTTAAAGGAAATTTTAAAAGGTCTATGCCAGGGCAGGTAACTGGGTTCTTTGACTGTAAGCTCCATGGAAATTCTGGGACTGCTTAGCCTGGTATGACAAATTAATAGCCTGGAAATAGGTAAGTTGAAGGAAATCTAACTGAAGTTAAATACATAGGAAGGGCTGTTAATTCAAGTTATATAAAGAGAAAGGAATGTATATATTCATACACACACACACACACATACACACACACACACACACAGAAATAGTAATCTCCACAGAAGGCAGAATTTAAGGATGCATAGATGAATAAATAAATTCAGGATTTGGTCTCACTATGAAAAATTAATCATGTAAGAGCAAGGCAGAGAGAGGATAGTGAAGGAGCACTGTCTTAATGGATAATAACAATAATTTAGATTGCCTTATATTAATTAACTCTTATAAAGAGAAAGGTGATACACACACACACAAATATTAATCTCCACAGAAGGCAAAATTTGAGTATACATAGACGAATAAATAAGTTGAAGCCTTTTGATCTCATCTCAGACAGATAGGAGAAATGTAGGCCTTGATATCACTATTAAGATTTAATCATGTAAGAACAAGGCAGGAGATAGTGAAGGAGCACTGTCTCAATGGATAATAATAATTGTTTAAATTGCTGTAATTGCTTTGAATTGTTTTAATTATCAAAATATGTGTGGTTATAAGTTTGGTGGTTATGATATTAAAGATCCTCTGGGAGAGAGGACAAAATAGAACAGGCCTAAAGATGAAGGAGGCTGCTAATTTGAATCAATCTATATTTTTGATGATTTTGGTTGCTGGAAAAAGGACATGCTATTTTGGGAAAGGCTCTGTATTTACGTTAATAGGAAAGAAGAAAAGGTTTTGGATCTGTTTCTAAGTAATATGAATTCAGATATGATAGGGAAGACCCCCTGAAGATCTTGGCTAAAGACAGAAAAGAAATATTTGAGAAGATCAAACAGGACAGGTAACAGGATTTACTGATTCCTCCACATGGAATCAGCAATTTAAATTAATTAGACATAAAAATGTGTTTAGAAAAAACTTCAGCTAAATTTAGACAATAACTCTTGTTGGTTACGGGATCCTTAAGATTCATTGTGCCATCCGTCACATGGCATGAATAAAGATTTATTACAATTGATTATTGATCAAATTAAACCATAAAAAAGACAGCTGTCTTTCACCTGCTCAAACAAGGAGCAAAAAAAATCTCATCCTTAGCTGATCTTTGTACTTTGTACAATTTATATGACTATCTTAATAGTACTAAAATTTTGGTTGTAAGATTCATATACTGAAGAATGTGCAGCTCTGACAAGATTCATCTATGGGAATGCTGAAATGACCTGCTGTTCTACTTCTTGCCTCCTGATGCTGTTTCAAAAGACTTGATTCTAGAACAGCTTTAGGAATAGCTGCTGATTCCTGATGAACTCAGTTCATTCAGCTTTTTAGACAGATCCAATCAGAACTTTAGTCAAGCCCTGAGCCTTCTAACCATACAGAGACTAGATAACAGATGTGAAATCTAGCCTTCTTAAGTCTAACCATTCTTTCCAATTTTCCTACCCCTCCTCACCACCCCTTAAGAAATAATTCATTTCCCCAATTCAGCAAGAAGAAGCCATAGCTACTCATCACCCCGATTCCTTGGGTCAGAGTGTCTGGTTATGGTTATATTATAAATTACAGATAAATTGTTATTTTAAGGGATAATTTGGAGATGGTCATAATTTTGAACAGGGAGGAAACTACATAAAGAGCTCAGACTTGGAGATTTCTGTCTTTCTTTCCCCCTCTTCTCTATCCTGTTTTTTCCTAGGTAAAAGGAAGGAGGTTGAAGGTGAAAAGGTGGAGAGAGTAATATTATAAAACATTAGATATATAGGATAGATTACTAAAATTATTCTTAAAGCACTGTATAGCCATAATATTTTATTGGTAGAAATCTTCATATTTGATGTAAAATTGAATAATTTCTTACTTTGGTACAGAATTTATATATTGATACAGGTTTAAGGTTTTCACTGGTATAAAGATTTATGTAGTGATACAAAATTTGAAATTAATATTGTTACTCTTAGATAGGCATTGTGCCCATGCAACTCATTTTAGAATCCAGTCCTTCTATAGCTGCTATTACAAACTGTTTAGGATGATTAAGTGATACAAGTTAAGGGCCAGATAGTAAACTCATGGTTATATTAGATTCTGATTTAATTATAATAAAATGATTTAAATATTATTTCAAATAGATATAACTAAGAATAGTCAAGGTTTAACAGCTGAGATATAATTTATATGGATAGATAGTTTTCACAAACATCAGAAATCCATGAAATATGACATTTATAATCATTTCATTATTATTAGATTTTAACCAAGAGACATGTCTGCTCCTGACAGCATCCACTTCATGTTTTATAGAAGATACTGAGCATCACAACTTCCATATAGAGTTGCTTCAGTTATGGCAAGGTAGCCATTGGGCAAGAATTGCCCTAATTCATCTATAGACAAAAATGTACTGTCCAGGAAAGGATGCATGATGTGGGATAGTTGACTGCTTGGCTCTACCAAGACAGAGTAAGCTAGTCCTTAATAGTTCCTTTTTCACTTAAGGTCTGTCAGATGGTTCCAGGGCAGAATGCTCAGGATAGATGCTCCAATGTTTTGAGGAATAGGAGCTGTCCAGGTAGTCAGCTGTCTCTGCAAATTGTTTACATTTTGGAAGCTATGGTCTTGTGCTTCTTATATATTCAGGTCATATTTAATTCATTCTCAGATCTCTGATGGGGTTAAAGACTAGTTATAATCTCATAATCAAACTTAAGTTGTTTAGCATTGAGGAAGATGATACAGATTTGAAAGGATGGTTTTCTCAATCCAAGTTAAAATCAAAACACAATTAAGGTATAGAATTGTAAACGCTTTAAGTTAGGATAGGTGTTAGAATAATGTAGCTAAATTGACAAAATATATGGACTGGACATTATTAGTGTATATCATATCTTATAGTTCACGTAACTGTTATAACTATGTTAGTTGTATACCTGAGAGAGAAGGTCCTTTTAATGAACAAAAAGGGGGTAATATTGTGGATTTAGTCTAATGCTTGCATTATGTTATTTGAGTTCTCAAAATTGCATGGTAATACACATGTAAGACACTAGGGTTCCTGCCCCTAGTTAGTTATGATTGGCAATAAAGTTGCTGGTGGCCAATGGCAGGGCAGGAAGACAGAGGCAGGACTTTAGGATTTGCCGGCAAGAGGACCAAGAGAGAAGAAGGAGGTAAACTGCCATGCTGGGGAAGGAATAAGATCCAGGCTTGAGAGCTGCAGAAGAGAGAGCATACTAATCATGTAAGAGCTGGGGAAGAGCTGCTCAGCTCCCTCTCCTCAGTTGAGTCTAGGGTAGTTAAGATGAAATACAGATTTTAATAAGTAATAAGAGTATGGAGGGGGTGTTAGCAATGTGGAAGTTTGGGAATGGCCAACCATTGAGCTGTTTAAGACATATTAAAATAGAAGGCTGTGTGTGTGTGTGTGTGTGTGTGTGTGTGTGTGTGTGTGTGTGTGTGCATCTTTTACTCGGGAAGTCAGAACATTGGGGAAGTTAGCAAAGAACACATGACACTGCCACCGGGTCAATTTGAGTAGCATTAGTTGCCTACTGCAGTAGACACTTCATGTTATATGCAATAGTAAGTGAGGCATGGAATTTGTCTCATATTAGAAGATGACCAAATCAGAGAACAGAAAGGACAGTGGATTTAACAGTGGATATGTAGAGTCTGAGGGTAGCTAAAGGTCTAAGGTGCTAAACTTGAATTAATCTTTGTACTTTATGTATATCGTGAAGCACAGACATTCGACTTACCTCATTCTGTTGGAGAGCATACTCTATTTCTTTGGCTGTTAAGCCTAGAAGAAATAAGAAAAGCAATCTATCATGCTGACTGGTCTTATTCAAAGTCTACACAGGGAAGAAACAGGAGTTAAACAAACCAACAAAATTCAAAGAAAAAAAATACCAGGAATTAATCTGTCCAAATCAGCCTCCAAAGACTGTTACGTTTCTCTCTAAAAAACTGATGATCATAAAAAAACATAATCTCAGTCACTAGGAAACAAATGTAACTCTGATCAACGTAGTCATCAAGCCAGAGTCAAATCCTTCCAAAAGATCGTCTGGTGGGAACCACGTACATTTACTTATTTTCTCTCTTAGTGTGTGAGATCGTATTACTCTCTGTATTGTCCAGAGAACTATCACTTTTAAAGCACACAAATTCACTCTCCAAGCACCCAGATATCTTTATGATGGTCAAGTGTTTAGTCATTTGTACACACATTCACAGCAAATTGCTGTGACTGAAGATTGTTACATGCGGAATTGATTCTTAATCTCTAATGATTTCAACTTTAAAATACACTGAGAAGTATAGGAGGTGCTCTTAAAAACACTTAACTTACACACTTACAAGCACATCATGAAAATTAACAACGATGACTGTGTCATTTAGATTTCCTGAGTATGGACTTTTTCATGCAAAAGAGGAGAACAGAAATCAAAAGTCCTTTGAAAGGCATATAACATACACATTCATACTGCAGGGGTTTTCCAGAAAATATTGCTTCAATATGTAGCTCAAAATTCAACAATGTCCCCCAAAGCAGTTCTCATTTGATTTGTGAGTGAAATAAAGTCTGATTATTTTAACCTGACATTGTGTTATGTTTTGGATATAGCTTGAGCGTGAATTTCAGAGTTTCACATGCTGGACGTCTGGCTCTCAGTGTGGCCATATTGAGAGGGAAAGGTAAGAGCCTAGTCACACTTAACTGGGCCATTTCAGGCATCACGTCTGGAAGTTATTTTAATTCTAAATAGTTATATTTAATTCTAAAAATAGTTGTTTTAAATCTAGAGGGTCATTCCATAGCAGAACAAACTGTCAGAGAAAGAGAGCATCATGCCCCGAAGTCTTTCTGGCATTGTGTCTTACCAAAAAAATATCCTGTCCCATATATTTCTGCAATAATATCAGTTACCATCACATGTGACATAGCCATAAAGCACCCAAGCTGCACATGTGTCAGTTTTCAGCTCCAAACTCATGAGCTGAATACTATTCTCTTATTCATATAATACCACTATTAGACATTTCATAAAAGCAACAGAAAATCATTTAACAAGCATATGACAAAGAAGTTGGACTCAAGACTGTCAGAGATATGCATTTATCTCTCAAGTCCCTGCACCAGGTCATAAATACAACAAAGAACAATGCAATATGCCAATGGATCCCTATCACACAGCTGTCAAGCAACACATCCTTAAACAAGTTCCACAGAGCATTTTAGGATTCCATTTTTAAGAAAAGAAAGGTGAGTACTCTAAACAGGAAACCTTCCTTCACCTGCTTCTTTTGCTTTGTTTAACAGAAAACGAGGCAGAAATAAACACATTAAAATTCTAATCTGAACTTGACACAACAGATTTGAAGGTTATAACAAAAGATACTAGAAGTCTCCTAGCCACCGGGAGCCTTGCTGTCACTCTCATACTTTCACCACTCTCATACTTTCACCTTTAATCTTGGGTCTTTCCTTCCCTAGGATGAACTGTCACCTCGATCAGCTTAGCTGATCCTGCACATGGTGGCAGTTCAATTCTCCTTTCTAGCCTTGCCCCAGACTACCTACCTCATGAGTACTTTTCTCTGTGTTGAATCTTCTGAGTAGAAATATTGAGAAGGATAGGTTTCTTTCCCTTATCTAACACACACACACACACACACACACACACACACACACAAACACACAGCTCAATACCTATCTTACATACAAATGTTACATACATCTCAGACTAACTTATGTAACAACAAGAGGACAGGGGCTAGAATGAGGGTTCAGGGGTTCAGAGTAAACAGTGCTCTTCCAGGAGACCAAGGCTCTCTTCCCAGCACCCAGATCAGGCAGGTTATCATGCTTATTATTGCTTGTTATTCCAGCACCAAGGAATCCATGACCCTCTTCTGGCCTCTACAGGCACCTGCACACACATGGCAGATACATAGGCACATGAATAAAGATAAAAATAAGGGGCTGGAGAGATGGGTCAGCAGGAGAGCACATACTGCTCTTGGAGAGGATCAGGTTCCATTCCCAGCATTCACATGGAAGTTGAAAATCAACTCTAATGTCGGTACCAGGGGATACAATGACCTCTTCTGGTTACTGAGGGTATCATGTATGCATGTGGTACACATACAAACAGGCAAAGCACTCACCCATAAGGTAAAATTTACAAAATTTTCAAAAAACTTTTAAAAATAAACAAAAATTTTTTTAAAAGATGTAAAATAAACAAAATAAGCAAACAAAACAAAACAAAACAAACAACTCCCCCCACCAAAACAAACAAACAAACAAACAAAACCAAAACCATAGGGCCCGAGGTGGCCAAACTTGGAGCAGGCTCCAAATGAGCCCTCTGGGATTCCTCCACCACTGGAGACTTGGTGTAGATGAGAAACCAGAGAAATGAAGGGTGGTACTAACCACCAAAGAGAAGCATCATTTATATGCTACAAGCGAAAGCCAGCACAGAATGAGCTACAAGTTTTCATGGCAACCACCCTACCAAGAACATGCTCTCTTGCAAAACTTGTGCCCAAAATAGTCCCTGTGTTTGCCAAGAGGTCATCTCTCATTCCACTCTTACCGGCATCACAAAATAGAACACAGCCATGTGGCACCATAAATAATGTTTTGGTTAATATCAGGCCACAGATAGGTTAATGCTCTCATCTTTGTACTGTGTCCTGGCTTACAGGAGGAAGCTCTACCACCCAGACTCTTGAAATCACCTAACAAGAGATTTAGAGTATATGCCCGTTAAGAAGAACTAACCACTGCATGAGGACTCAAATATTCTCATGACTAAGGGGCAGGTGGTTTGATTAGATATACTGTTTAATATAGCGCTAAAAGTATGACTTTACATTCAACTTTTAAACTTTCATTTCCAATGACAAACTTTTAATCTACTTCCTCCCCCACCCCTCCTGTGCTAGCTTGTCAACAGCAGTAACAGACACATAAACAACAGTGTGGTAGTTTGGATAAGAATGGCCCCTGCAGATTCATAGACTTGAATACTTGGTCCAAAGTTTGGTGGAACTGTTTGGAAGGGATTAAGACATATGGCCTTGTTGGGAGAAGTATGTCAATGGGCCTGAACTCTGAGGTTTCAAAAGACCACACCATGTCCATTTAGTTCTCTCCTTCCTCTTCCCCCTCTCTCTGCATCATGCCTGTGGATCAGAATGTGAGGTCTCAGCTCCTGCTCCAGTGATGATTCCTGCTCTGACAGCCATGGACTCTAACCTCCCAGAACTTTAAACTCCAATAAATATTTTCTTGTATAAATTACCTCGGTTGTGGTGTCTCTTTGTAGCAATAGAAAAACAACTATAACAAATGGGCAGTCATATCAATACAGCAAATCGGGTGGGGGGCATTCTAATTTTACATCTAGAAAATCAAAAGTTATCCAGGGATCTCTGCTGCCAGGTCCCTGCTTTCTGGAGGGTCGTGTTTTCAGGTCCAGAGATATGGACGGGATGTAGACACCAGACTTTCCATCAATATAAATTTCTCCCACTGACATCCAAATCAGAGGAATATCAGTGATTACATGAGCAAGCATATATCAAAATGGTATTTGCTGTGAAAAGAGATTAGTTTCAAGAATGTTCTGAAATTCCTGGGAGCAAGAAGCTACACATGTCCTCATGCCAAAGGGTTAGTAGTCAAATAGCTTCTAGTCAGTCGGCCCACCATGAGGCTAAATTGCACTGAGATGCAAATGCCTGAAAAACTGCAATACTTGAGATTCATGTGAATGCAATGAAATATTCTTTATTACCCAGAAAAATATCACATCATATGTATTTTTGTTTCATATTTTTTCTTAAAAGAAGAAATAGAAGCCATCAATGGGATCAAAAACTGGGCAAACACTTAGAAAACACTGAGGCCACTTTGTAAAATATTCAATGCAGAGTGACTATGTGTTCCTCAGACCTTCTGTGATAGAAAAATGAAAACCAATGTTTAAACAATAACTTTCAAATGAATGCTCATTTCTGTACTGTTCCTAGTAGTATAAGGGGTGAAATGTGCTTTATGTCCAGGGGTTAACAAATAGATGGGTGTGGCATTCCTCCACAAGGAAATACATGTCAAAGAAAAAGGAATGGTGTAATATGTGATTGAACTTCACAGCACGCCAAGACAGAAGCCAGTTCCAACAGAGCACATGGCTCTAATCGTTGAGTATCTGAGCTAAGGAAATCTACAGAGACAAGAGGTATGGCTGCCTGTGGCTAGAATGGCTACACAGAGGACCATTAACTGACATGAGGAAGATGGTCACAAACTTTCTAAATACACAGAAACCAATCACTTTACACTTAGCTGCTTACTTTCATGGGATGCATATGTGTTTCAATAAAAAGCTGCTTTTAAAAGGGAATAGAGAATGCAGCATGATGGCGGCCCCAACTGTGAATTTCAACACTTGGGAGGCAGAGGCAGGAAGATCTCTGTGTGTTTGAGGCCAGCCTGGTCTACAGAGTGAGGCTCTGTGTCAAAAAGAAAAATAAAGGGTGCGTGGGGGAAAACAATAACATTTCTTGGTCCCTTTAAGGCTGAATAGTAAGACTACACTTGATTCTTCTAATGATTTTTTATTTTAATAGAGCTCATGCCTCTAACCCCAATGCTCAGACCATGACAGAAATTCTGCCTTGAATTCAAAGTTTGTCTGGACTACAAAGTGAAAAATCTTACTCTCCCCTCTTTCAGTTCTCAAACTATACATACATATATATATATATATATATATATATATATAATGTTTAGGGAAAATGTATTAACTAAACTATGTAAGTTAAGTAGACAGAATACAGAATAGGTCAGTCAAATCTTAGTAAAAACTGACTATAGTGTTCTCAACAGAAGGCATCAGTTAAAAGCTGTATTTTACACACACACACACACACACCGTAAACGGTGTTCCCAAGAGCTGTTAGACCCTAGTGTCTGTCCATCCCATAATCACCACATCAAAATATATCTGAAGGTCTGTAAAGAGCTGACAGGAAGACCTCAGGGCCAGCTCCTAACTGGAGGATCGCCACCTACAAGCTATCCTTGGAAAGAGCCACATTTTAGGAGCAGAATTCCCGAGCCAGGCACCCACACTAGGCCAATTACTCGGGGTCAGTGTTGTTTGAGACAGATGCCTGGAGATCTTAGGGAGTCACAGGTTGCAGGTCCCTGGAGCTCAGATGCATCAAGGGACATTGCAGGACGCAGAATGTCTCCCACCGCCTGCCTGGCAGGGATGGCGCAGCGCGGGACTCACTACACTAAGAACTTTCCCGGGACAGAAAACCTACAGCTGCCAACGTCCCCCAGAAACCCGCGCCTGCTTAGCACCGGCCTGTGGTCCTACCTTCCTGCTCCACCATCTCCAGCAGGTCGGGGTCGCCCAGCTTTGCCAGCTCGTTGAAAGCACTGACACAGGGGCCAGCGGACCGCTGTGACAGGCGGCGAGATGACTTGGGGAGGAGGCTGAATCGGATGGTCTGCCGCCTGGTTTTCAGTTCTGGCTCCAGTAACCAGCTGGAGCTCTCGTTCAACAAGGTGCCCGAAGGGTGCGACTCCAGACCCAGAGCCACCTGGGGCCCCAGAGACACTCGAGGCGCTAGGGACACCCGGGGAGCCTGGGGAGAGCGAAGAGCAAAGGACGGGCGATGAACTTGGGCCGAGCCTAACGCTAGAGATGGGCGAGGCGCCATGGACCGGCGAGGCGCCATGGACGGGCGAGGTGCCAAGGAGGAGGTGCCCTGAGCTGAAGACTCGGGGCGGTTCCGCAGACTGGGCTTCCTCTCCAGGCGGTACTTGCCCTGACTCTTGCGGCGGCCCAGTAGACCGGCAGCTGAGCTCTTGTGCTTCACTATTCTTGAACGATATTGCTGTACTGTCCCCTCTGTCCCTTCCATGTACTCCTCCTGGTCCTGGCTAGGCTGGCCTGCATCCCTTCCTTGATCCTGCTGCCAGTCCTGCTCCTCCAGGTCGTGCTGGCGATGCTTCCATTTCTTCTTTGGTCTTTCTGGTGCACTGCCCTCAAAGATCTCCTTCTCACTGATCTCTCCAGACAACCCAGATTCCTCCCCAGTTTCAGACTCCCGGATTTGCGTTGTTATCTCCACTGTTTCTCTTCTCTCCTCTGGGCTTTCTGAAACCTGGTCCTCCTCAGAGACTTTCCCAATGTTCAAATACCTGGAGACTCTAGGCTTTCCCACCCTTCTTGGCCTCTCTGGGACATTTGATAAGAGCACATCCGAGGAGACTCCAGGCTCCTCCACCCTCCTTGGGGCCTCCTCAGGGGCCCTCACCACAGCTACATCTTCTGGAACTCCTGGCTCTTCTACCCTATCAGCATTCCTAGAGACCCCAGGCCTGGCGGGTTCCTGGGAGTCTCTAGGCTCCCTTCCCTCTTGACCCCTCAGCTCCATACCTAACCGGCTTAGAGCTTCCCGTTTCAACTGGTCCACCCACTCAAGGCAGGTACCCACCGTTCACCATCTCCAACCTTTTTCCTCACATCCCCTCTGGTAAGCAGCCTTAGCCTACTAGTACTAGTAAGTCTGGTTCCCCCGGATTGCGTGGCCCTCCACTGAAAGCGAAGCCAGCTAGGACAAAACTTTGTTCCCAGTTGGGGGTTATTTTCTGTCCGGTGAGAATAAAACCCACTTCCTTTAAAGCATCTCTCTCCCTTTAAGGCCTGAGCGTGACGTGGGTCTTCTCCAGGATTCCAGAAGACTCTTGGCTTGGCTTGAGTGCTGGTTCTTTAATGGATACTTCTAGGATAGTGAATCAGGTGCGTTTCTACAATGGGGAGAAGATCAGACACCATGGCCAAAATTAAGAGTCAGTCTCTGTTCCTTCAAAGTTGAAAGGTATGGGCTAGTTATATGAGTACTTATGATATATGCGATAGTGGAAACGGAAATATCCTATAATTGTGAATGGGTAAGAAAACATCTTTTACACTCGATGAGAATAGTACCTTTTAGGGTATGCGGGGAGCACTCCATGAGTATGCTGGGAAGAATGCTAGAAATTAACCCACATCGCCTTGAGCCTTCCTCTACCTCTTAGTTTGAAAACCAAGCAGAGGAATCCCCAGGAAACAGATTGCTCTGAATTGGGCCTGACAACCCCACACTAATTAGGAGATAGGAATTACTAAAGGGGTAGTTGAGTATAGGCTGAAGGTGATGTGGTTGGACACCTGAGCAGAGCACCTAGGGAGTACAGGGGTCGGTCATGACACTGTCTAGAGGTAGATTGGGGTGATTTGAAAATTAAGGAACAGGTAACCAAAGAAAACTTGGCACGTCTTGGTGGCATGGCTGTTGTGTGTTTCTCTGTTTCTCAGGGACCTTCTGAAGCCAAGAGGCACCTTTTAGAGATTCCAGGACTGCTATGATTTTGCTACGCCCCTTCGGTCGCTGCTTCTTTACCCTGTCAGGATTTTTTTTCCCCACTGAATTTCTCACAACACCATTCAAGTGATTCAAGGCCGCGGTTTGAAATTGTATTGAAAGAGTGGATGTGCATAAGGTGAACAATACATGTGCTTTCCTGTGATCATAATTATGACAAAATGGTTTAGTTCTTCTCCACTGGCATGCTTTACGAGCTTCAGTTAACTCTTTCTGGCAACATCCTTCCAGAAACACCCAGAGGTAATTCTAAATCCAGTCAAGTTGTCACTCAAGGTTAACTTTTACACCATGTTGTTGTTATTTGTTCTAGCTAATTTATTTTCCTAGATAAACCACCCTGTGGAAAAGCTACTAGGAGAAGCCAGGCTTTCAGTGAGCTGTTAGGTTTAGTCCATCATAGCAGAAAACAAAGCAGGAACTTGAAGCAACATGTCACATTATAATGGAAATAAAGTAAAGATAGTTTCTAAGAAAGCTCCACCTTTCTTAGAAAGAAATCTCTTGGAAAGAGATCCCAGACCATCTCATGGACAAGGAGCTGAATGTGTGATGGCAACCAAGAACAACTTCTATGACCCCTTGGTAGTTGGAATAAGAGTTACAGGCTGACCCTTGAGTGTGGGAACGAAGGGAGCATGGTTCAATCAGCATTACTTGAGATACCTGGAAGTCTAGAACAACCAGTGACACTAATCCCAGCACACAGCATGCTTGCTCTTCTATCTGCTTTCTCTCTGGTCCTGTCTGATCCTTCCTAGTTCTCATTTCCCTCAGCTGTCTTCTTTGAGTATGTCTCATCGCAGGCTCTGCTGCATTCTTTAATTATTCGGGAGATGCCCTAAGTTATCACTACTACTATCTTTACTTTTTGCAAGAAGATTGATTTTATCAGTATGTCATACTTTTACCATACATGGTACAAATCCAACGGTCTTCAAACTTAAAAAGTTAAGTACATGGCACATAAAAATGTCAAGACAAACATTACTTAGAATATTAGAACCAAATCTTATTATCTAGTGGACTATTGTCCCGATTTGCATGTTCACTAACTCAGCATTCATGTGGGTATCAGTGCTGTGGCAATGTAATTAAAGCCATGGAGAAACAGTAGATGCCATCAATGGATGACCTCATGCTTGGATCCAAAATAAACTGTCAGCCAATTCACTCTTCCCAAAATATACTTACTATTAAAATCCCAACTGTGTCCTCAAAACTTGAGTTTCAAAAACACCGAATTTGAAGAAAATGTAGCAGCTTTAATTTAGTGAAAACTTGTATTTAATGTATAATGAAATTGATCAGAATACTTATAATGAAATATGTTTAAATAAAGGCATTCCATTTTCAAGGTTTATAATTCATATGAAATTTCAGTAAATGGTAGCAAGTGAGTGAAAGTAAAGAGCTTTGAAGAGTTGCTCAGTGGTTCAGTCGGGGGTTTTTCTACCCGAAAGGAGTCTTCATGTGTGTGCTCCATCCAGTAGTATTGTCCAGGGGCATCTCAAGGGACAGGAATATATTTGATTTCTCCAAATGTTGAGCACGCTTGTAATTGAGCCTGCTGTGGCTTGAAATTTCATGCTTTAAGGAGACAGTTGTTGCTAATCAAATTATATTTAGTCCCCTTTGCCAAATTCTTCTTTGTAAAAATGGCCCCTGACAGAGAACAGGAGCTCATCTGATGACTTAATTGTATATTCACTTGATATGGAGGGCAGGGCTCTAACGCAGACTTGTTCTAAGACAGTCATCTTCAAAGACAGTGAAGAGAGAAGCTTTAATATCAATGGAGTCTGCTTCTATTATGAACTTACCCATATCTACTTCACTGATGCCAGATAGCAGCTCAATCTCAGAGCTGGGGCTGCATACCCTGACTTGCATGGGTAGGGAGGGCATTTAGCCAATAAGAACAAAGATGGTGATTCCTGCCAGAGTATGCTCCCTATGCAATTATTTCAGACAGCCATTTGCTATTTCCCAGAACAACAAGCATAGGGCACCATGTTGAAAAGTCAGTCACCAGTAAGTGGAGTCCCTGCAGTGTTTTGCCTCCTCCTCCTCCTCCTTCCTCAAGGGTCTGCTTAATACCCTTACAAGATAGTCATCACCAGAGAGCAGAGAACACATTTAAAGTCCCCCAAAATCCTGACTGTTGGTATTTTATCTAAACTAGTGTTAATACCAGCAGAATGCTGTGAATTTGGGAAAATAAATAAACGGACAAAAAAAATAAAAATAAAAAAACAAAGAATAGGGACAAAAAGTTCTGGGAGTTCTGGTTTCTTATGTCCTCCTAAATCAGTGCCCTACCTAGAGGCTAGACTTGAGGGTGAGGCTGCGACTCCAGTCCAGATCCGAATCGCTCAGGTGAACAGCTTTAGAACTGGATAAACCTCTGGATTTTTCTTTTTTCTTTTCTTTTACCTTTTTATTATTGGATATTTTATTTATGTTCAGATACAATCCTCTTTCTCCATTTCCACCCCCACCCAGAAACCCCCTATCCATACATCCCCCCTTCTCCTACTTCTATAAGCATGCGCCCCACATACTCACCCACTTTTATCTCTCCGCCCTCAAATTCCCCCACATTGGGGCATCCAGCCTTCACTGGACCAAGGACTTCCTCTCCCATCTATCCCCAACAAGGCCATCCTCCTCTATATATACTGCTGGAGCCATGAGTCTCTCCCTACGTGTTCCCAAGCTGGTGGTTTAGACCCTGGGAGCCCTAGTTGGTTGGTATTGTTGCTCTCCCCATGGGGCTGCAAACCCCTTCAGCTCCTTCAGTCTTCTCTCTAACTTCTTCATTGGGAACCCCATGATCAGTTCAATGGTTAGCTGTGAGCATCTGTCTCTGTATATGTCAGTCTCTGGCAGACCTCTAAGGAGACAGCTTTATCAGGATCCTGTCAGGATACACTTCCTGGCATCCACATCAGTGTCTGCCTTTGGTGACTGCACATGGGATGGATACCCAGGTGAGCAGTCTCTGAATGGCCCCTCCTTCAGTTTCTGTCCCACACTCTGTCTCCATATTTGCTCCCATGAGTATTTTGTTACTCCTTCTAAGAAGGACGGAAGTACCCACACGTTGGTCTTCCTTCTTCATGAACTTCATGTAGACCTCTGGATTTTTCAAATTGAAATTGGGTAATGTCTATTTCCCAGTTTCAGCCCACCTCCTAAACAATTATAGTATTACCTTTGCAGAGGAAAAAGTATTACGGTAGCTTGGGTGACAGCTTGAAGACCATTATAGAGAAGCTACTTCTCTGGTCAGAATGGAGACCTGAAATTCCAAGCTATACAAAAACGTAAGAGTTGATCCAGTTGGGTCTGCTAATCACTTGCCTAAGAAACCACTTCACATGGAGACTGGTTCATTGTAAGCCAAGCTTAAGAGCTAGGAGGAATAACTATCCCTGTGGTGAAACAATGCATCCATCTTTTCCAAGAAGCCCTCAAGTGCCTTCCGTGTTTGGAGCTGCAGTCATGCTAATGGTTAAACTCCTCTGCTTTTCTAAATTTTTCTTTTACCTATTTGTATCTTTTCCCCTCATTTGAGTACTTGCCAAAGCCTCAGCATGCATTCTCGGACACTATAGGCTATCTCAGTCTTTGACTATGAGGTTATTTCCACTCTCTAACCCCCCTCTCCCCACAGTACTGTTTATAAATGTCATAGATCTCTCTTCCTCTTCTTCATCTTCCTCTGTTAGACCTGAGATAAAACATTTCCATGACTGTCTGATTAAAGTATTTAGAACTATACAAGGGCCTGGCCAGATGACTGCCCCTCTACCCCCCTACCCACAAGTTCCACCTAAGTTGGAGATTCAGAGAGCAGTCCCTCACTGACTTTTGAGGTTCCTTTGGTGAGGAAGGATTAAGGTTGAAAAAATAGCGGTTGAGATAATCAGTCATTAGAACCTGGATAGAAGAGTGGGAAACTTGGTCTCAAGGCTTCCTATGGGGTGGGTAAGTGCAAGAGT